TGTCTGGGAACTAAGCCTCTTAAACTGAAACAGAAAAGCTTAGTTTTACAGGGGTAGGAAGAATTATTGAAAAATATGCAGTATTTCTTATTACTTAGTATTTCTTTCACGTCATTTTGACAAGTCAGGAATATGCACACGTCATTTAAAATTAAATGGGACTGATTTTTATATCTGCCTTGTTAGTCTTTTCTCATTTATGATGGTGTTAAGTTGGCAACACGGTACATACATATTACTATAGTATTACTCTACACCATTTTCAGGAAACACATACAATCACATCACTGAATTTTTAAAAACATGGTTAAAAATACAACTACATGAACTTGCAGAATTAAAACAATTTATATGGCTTATTTTTCTTAAATTCAAGAAAACAAAACCCTCCAGTTTTAAACTGAGACCTTCTCACTGCACTGCAGTGAACTGTACACGCAGTTACCATTTCTCAACTGAGCAATTCAAACCTTATTAAAACATTAAATAGATAACTTGAATTTGTTTTACCACACTTTTACCGCGCTATGCCAGCATTAAACACCCTTCTACCACATGCCAGAAGACGCTATCTGCATCACGTCACATGCCAGGACCAAACCTCTGTACCAGATTCAGCCACGGTGCTCCAGTCTCAGACAGACACTGGTTTTGCCGGCTTCCGACTCCTCCTGGCACAGCACGGCAGTTTCTCTCTAGGGCTCGCTAAATCTGATGCATCAGATGAAGACACCGATTGCCAGGAGCTCCTAGCATGGCACAAAGCGAATGCAGCTTGCCCCCTTGCTTGCAACAACGCTGAATGTCAATTTTGGTATCACTGATCTAGATATTCCTTGGACACGTCCTACGACTACACGCAGGGCACTGAAGGCAGCGATGATTTCCAGGATCATGAAGAGGAGGCAGTGCTTAAAGGGTGCCTGCAGCCTTCAGGTTTTGATGGCACTGATTTATGCCCGATCTTGATGCTTGCAAAGAAATTAACACGCTGATGAGCAAAACCAGGTATGGAGGGACAGACCGGACTCCGTTAGCAGGGTAAAAACGTTCATGGATTGGATCTAAAGAGGGAGAGCTCACATGGGAATGCTTAGGATACCACATTCATGCATTTGTAACTCAGAAATGTCTATGTTCTGTCAGCATCCCATGGCGTGGCCATAATCAACTGTCTTACGGGACAGGAACACGAACAGAAATCCGTTTGGAAAGGGACACGAAAGGACTGTCTGTCACTGCAGCTAACTAGTTCCTCTCTTCCCTCCGCACTCTTTCAAGTGCACAAAGGGTCACGTGGACACGGTTCCCAGACACCATTCCTATCTGGCAGTCTTTTCACTCTACTTCACAGTATTTCGCTGGTGGAATTTTTTTTCGACTTAGGGCAACAACAAAAAAAAAACCCCAACCTACCAAACTTTTGGAAAGGGGGATGATCCATCACTCAAGTTATAAAAAGCAACCTTTTTTTTCCCCCACACATCCTTTAGATTTAAGCAAATTAAAACCAGCTTAACAACTTATGGTTAAGTTGATCATACGGCTCAAAACAGATATTTCTCCCCCAATTTCCTACTCACACCAAGAAAACAATCACTGAAAGAATTAGCAAAGATTCTTGCACAAGACGGTCATAAGTTTTTTTGTCAGGACAATGTTTAACATTTCATAGTGGCGCTTTGCGAGACCAAAAACACCCTGTCCCAAACCTGGAAAGTGATTCGGAACAGAGCGGAAGATGCATCTTCTCCACAGTGGAAGGCACTACCAGTGCCTTTTATCAGACAAATTCTGTAACTCCAAACATACTGATCTCCTTTTGGAGCTTGTGTAGATAGATAAGCAAGTTGCCACTTCCTAGCAGCAGCGTGGAAACACGCTTTAGACATGCACTGCTGTACAACAGACCATAAACCATGAAGAATTATGGAGTAAGTGACACGTCGTATTAAGATACACAAAAGATACTCGGGAAAGAAAACCCACAAGTTCAGTGCTAAATTTCCTGTCGAAAGCATCTGGTTTGCGCTGTAAGCAAAACCAAGGTCTGTCTGACTCCCTCTGCTGTTCCCTCACTCCTGCAAAGAGCAGGAGAGCTCATCTCGCATATTGTTTCAAGTACTGCCTCAGGAGGTCATCTATTGTTCCTGGACTAACTAGGTCACGGCCACTGCCATGCTCCGCTTCATCTTCGACTTCATTCTAAAATCACGCACCTCCCCGCCCTTCTCCTTTAATACCATTCACAAAAATATCACCGGCCCTGAATGAATTTACTCCTGGAAAGCCAGCCGCATGAGATTTAACTCCTTCCCTGTTTATTTCTACCCACCCAAGACTTATCACTGCATTCCTGAAATGAAGTTAGCAACTCAGGATGTTGGAAATTTGAGATGACGAACTTCATGCAAGTGAAAGCAAAAGAGCAGAACCATGTGTTTCTTTCCCAGAATGACACCAGCTACTTTCTTCTCCATGCAAGGGGGTATACATCTATAGAGATCTACCTCTCTCTTTCCCCGTTCACGGAGAATAGTGTATGTATTTTCAACCAGGATTACCTGCTCCCACCCTTCTACTACACTGTATCTACTGCTAATCACTGTAGATACATGCAACTTATCTCTAGCATTTTATATATTAACAATGGTTAGCTACTATTTTTTAACATACTACTTTTTTTGTTGTTGTTATGAAGGCATTACCCACAGTGCTAAACTACCTAAACACTCTCAGTTGGCCTGTTCTTCCTGCAACTGCTCCTTATTGCTTTATCTAAGCAGCTGCTTAGAGCAAGAGTTTCACAAAGAATTTGTATGAAATCAATGTGTCACTTTATTTGTGTAAAGGCAGCTTTTGTGCTATATTGAGAAAGAATGCTTAAGATATTAAATTTAAAGTGTCTAGACAAATTAGTCCTCAAAGACTCTTGCTATTTGCTGCTCTTGTCCACAGCTGACTACTGTCAACTTTTGCACCTTTACTACCATCTTTCAGTAAGAGCGCTTACTTCTAATGATGTATTTATAGCAGGAAAAGTAACCTGAAACAACACAAACCCTAACTCAATTTAGGTCATAGTTGTTATTGCTAAATAAATGCTCTTAAAATGGTGTATAACCATCAGATCTACAGTGACAAGTACTTTATAAAAAACCCAAACAAACAACAATTACCTTCCTCGAATCAAGAGTCTACCCTTCAGCCCTAAAATTCTCAATAAAAACATCATTTTTATATGCATGAATACTTAAATACAAGTTAAGTTCAACATGAATCCATTTTTTGTAACATGTTCCAGACCAGATATGTTTATGTGCATACTGTCCATATATTTATAAATCATAAAATCATAGAATGGCTTGGGTTGGAAGGGACCTTTAAAGGTCGTAAGTATCCTCTACAGATCACCTTGGTGTAAAAGTGATTTGGTGCAAATAAGACACAGGACCTAGTAATCTGCCAGAACTCTGAAGTAATGACACCTTCCATGCCAGTGCTGCTGCTGGTTTTGACAGACATAGTCTGCCGTGTTGGATGGTTCAGTTCTTAAATTGATACACACCAGTAACAAACGTGAGACTGGAAAACATTTCATCTGGGCACTGAGGCTGCAGTAGAGTTGAAACAACAAAGAGCTTTTGCTGAAAGGCACTGTCTCCCTTTTCCAGAAGCTGGAAAAGACACCACTTCTTTACATCCCTTTGGGGAATCAGTGTTCCAGAAAACTAAGCTAGATCTTGGTGTGATCAGAAAAGCAGCACAGAAAACAGGAGGAAGGTGGTTATGTACAGCCAGGGCAGAGAAAGGTATGGTGAAACCTGGACCTTTCAATGGCTTCTTGCCATGAGATCCATGCGAAACCAGAAGTTATACATCCACAGTGTAAGTCTAATAGCTACAACAAGTAAATAGCAAGAGATATCGCCATGCTAAATTGATGCTTTCTGCTTTTAAAAGGAAATAAAATCCACATTTAATTACTGTGCTGTATCTTAAAAACAGCTGCTGTTTGGAAATACCTGGTTAACACAGAGTCTGTTAGAGAATGAAGCCAACCGTTTGTATGATGACGCAGTAACAGAGGTAAGACATTTCTGTTGTAAGGCAACGCAGTGAGATGACGAGATGAGAGGGAGAAGGTGGTACGTATGATCTACAGAAAGACTTTCACCTGCACCTACTGCTGCCACCAGACACGCTGTTGTGACTGCAGCTACGCTGGATGAAGAAGTTGCCACCCCACTTCATCTGCACTTGCTCATTACCTTCAAATCTTCCAGCATAACCGCATGTTTAGTCACTTCCTAACCCAGTTCTGTCAAAATGATTCCCGTTAGAAAATCTGTGTTTCAGCTTAACTCAGATTATTTTTGACAGAACTTGTTTAGCGGATGACTATAAATGCAAGTACCAGAAGATCTGAGAACACTGTAACCTTTCGAGCTAGGAGAGGAAACAGCAGTGAGCAAGTGGAGACAGCTAGCCCTTTTCCACGGTCATGCTGCTGCAAGGAAGCACGTTAATCAGACACAGAGGTCTGATTTGTCAGGCTCCCTAATCAGGGAAAGCTGTATATCAAGCCTGGCATCTTTAAAGAAAATAAATAGGTAGATCTATATTACAATTACTTTACTGCTTAAAATGTCAGGTTGGGGTTAAGCACCCAGAAATGCAAACCATTGTTATAACTACCTAGAATTTAGTTATATAATGAGAGAAAGCAACCAGATGCTATTCAAAAGCTAGAGAAAAACATGTTATTTCTGTGGAGTTAAGGGATAAATACCAACTCCACCTTCTTAGAATACCATAACAAGACCCAAAATACTACTTCACTGCTTTCTATATATCACGGACACAGCAAATAGTGCCTGTGTTTTCACCTGTTCCGTGGTAAAAGAACTGGAAAAACTCAACCAAAATGCAGCATCAAATTATCATCATCTAGTATGCAACGCTGAGAGGAACAGTACTTGATACATAGATCACCATACCTTTTATTAACAGGCTTCTCATCCTTGTCATAGGGTCTTATGAACCATTTTCCAATTCTTACGAAGTTTTTATCCATCAAGCACCTAGAAAATAATTACAGGAACAATTACTAGTTACATCTTAAGGTGTAATTAAAAGCAGTCTTTGAAGACAGTAAATCTAAGGGATTAAGCAGCTGAATTCCCATCATATTGAAATTAACTTTGTAGCTTTTGGGTTCCACGTAACTTTGCCACTTTCTGTTTTCCCACACCAGCCACAGAGAATCACTGTCCAATCCCATGATGCCATCACTGATGCCGATGATCTTCACCTATGCATCTTCCCCTCACCTCTGACAGGATCTTTTCTGCTTCATACCACTCTCATTGCTGAATGATCCGTCATCCTATTTTTCAAACTACTCTTCTTGAATAAAGACAATTCATAGCCCCGATGCTTTTCTACACAGCGTTTCTTTAGAACTTCATGATAAAGAATATGCATTCCTGTATTTCTGGCATGCCAATGGCAACGTAGAGTACATGAATGACAGGAAATCGTGTTAACAAATACTAACAATGAACCATTTTTCCTTCACATTATCCACAGCATGATTTCAGGTATTGAAACTTCCATAATTACTGTTTCCTCTCTCAGAAAACCTGACTCCAACAAACATGCTCCCATGTCACTAAATTTAGAGCAACAAGTTACCCATTTTTTGTGGTCCCTCTAGAAGTTCACAATTTTTTCATAGAAACTGCTTATTCTGTGGCTTTATAGAAACCGTAACAGCGAGGATGCAAAGTGATCAATAACAAGTTTAGGTTGACAAGGAGTGCTTGATGCCTTTCCAAGCTCACCTGTCCAGAAGAACCACACTCGCAGTATGTCAACACCGAGTACGCTTCACCCATTAAACATGCAGTTGAACACACTGCCCAAGGGATCACGTAGTGTAAGATATTCCTTCATAACAAATTTCTGTAAGGTATATACGTTCCAAAAATTCTGAAAAACCGGTTATTGCTTGCTAGTGATTTATTTACGATTACAAGCCATATAGGAGCTTTCCCTATACATTCCATGTCTAATCAGTATTTCCTTATTTAGATGGATGAACTATACTCCATTCTTCAAAGCTTCCCAATAATTTATTTCTATAGTGGTTGCTAGAGATTAGTCAAAACAAAAAAATTAAAAAAAAAAAAATCACACAAAACCTTCCAGTAAAGTACATTCTGCAAGGTTTAGAAAAACTGTGTTACCTACACTTCAAAAGCACACCGAGAAGACATAGATAGGAAACGGACGGCAGACAACGTAGGCAGTAATATGCTCCTAGTTCTTCTGTATATACTTGGCAGGGTTTTCAAAACTTAAGGCCAAGCTGAAGAAAATTCTAACAGCACTTTCTCAATTAAAGCAAAGAGAATCCAGCTCAGTTGAATATACCAATATTTTAAACTGAATATGAAAGCTAAACCAGCAGATATCTAAAGACACAGCTCTTGTGCTGCTGGGGAAAAAGTGAAAAGTACGCTACAGCAACTGTTTCCCTAGGAGATATTTGGGATCAGAGAAAGCCTGTCAGTGTCAGTGCACTTCACACAAACAGAAGGAAGCCTGTGAAGTTTACATCAGATCCCTAAAGAAAATAATCTGAACTAGCAAAAAATGTAATAAACTCTCCTCCATCACACACATTTTAATGTCATATCACCATGTCTCACGATGGCAGGTTTAACTGCCTCAAACTAATGCTATTTTCCCAGAAAAAAGTGTTCATGTGTAGACTTGGCCTTAAAAATCAGCCAACCCTCACATGCTTAACTAAATGAAAGGTTATTTAAGGTATAATCCCATATGAAATGGGAAACGTGATTGCAGAAGCATGCATCTCAAGGATTTGGCCGCGTGAACAATTAATGGCGGTCGACATTATTTTTGCTGTGTAAGCACTCTGTGGTAACTAGTCTTTACCAGGAAGCTGCAACCATGAATGTCTGTTAAAAAAAAAAAAAAGCTGGTCATAAAACCCCAAATGGGTATACACTTAACAGCAGTTATTTAATCATATGAAGTAGGGACATAAAATACTCTGAACTCCTTGGCTCATTTCTCTAGTTAAGGCTGAGGGCTATTTTCTTCCTAAGCAGAACAGCTGGTAGAGCATTTCGCTGGCACCTCACCTCTCATATTTCTGATTTTTCTATTAAACAAAAATGACCTGACAAGGGCACACGAATGCTTATGAAGTAATACCACAGTATTTTGAGCATTATTTCCTCAGATCTTCTAACATTAATTGCAAAGTCACAAACTTCTCTGTACCCAAATCAGTGATCAGAAAGGGAAAAAAAAACAAACCCAAAAAAAAAAACCCAAAACCACCAAACCCTGAACAATTTTGTTAATCCCTTTTCTTGCCCTTCCCAGGGTTAATTTACAACAAAGACGTCTCCTCCCCTCTTCCCTGTCACAGCTTCCCATGTTTTCACTGCTGTTTCACTCAGTCCTTCCCCACTCCCCCGTGAGGTGATGGGTGGGGGAGGTGGGGGGGGTGACCTACACCACCCTTCCTCCTGCTGCCATTTGCTTCCCGCCTCCAGGTTTTCCTGCCACAACAGTTTTTCCTTCCCCTCCTCCAGTGGCTGCCGCTTTCTTCCCAGAACGTGGCCAAGCTGAGGTGCTGTGGGCTGCTGTGGCGGGCGGTCTGCCGGCTGGCACCAGTTCAAGCAGCATGGCGGCCTGCTCCCCTCCCTCAGAGGCCAGCACTCCTGGCACCAGCCAGAACGGCCCCGCTTGGGAAATTACATCTTGGTGGGACACGAGGGGTTCCCGAGAGAAGAAAATCTGCCGTCACTAACTGCAAAATAAACCACAGAAACCCCACAAAACTTCAACAACAAGCAACAGCCCCGTCACTTGCTGGAAAGATCAAAAAGAAATTCAAGATTTCTTTTTATTAAGGAAGCTTTTCCTAGACACAGGATAAAATGGGTCTTTCAAAATTAAAGAGTTAGCTCTCTTTTTAATGAAGCCTACACACTTACTGCTATTATTTTCAGTGAAATAATTACGACGGTAACTTCACACTTGATATGGCAAACAAGAAAAAGCCCTGAAAGTGTGTAACTTAAACCAGACTCAGCTATAATGCTGTAAAAATGATGTAGCTAATTGGGATGGTATTTGGTAAACCATCACCCTACGTCTCCTTGACAACTCTTTCATTGAAAGACTCCCATAGCAGGCCATTCTGAAGGTGTGCTTCTGCAGCAGCTCCAGCTGAAGAGCAGGTTAGCCCAGTGCTTCCGTTCCGGAAAGGCCACGCGGGAGCCGGACCCAGCAGCGGGACTCCCTCATCTCCAAGGGCAAAGAGGCAGAGACAGCGGCATGAGCCAGCCAGCTCATGGTGGCATGAAGTGAGGCTTTTGGCAAATACCTGACATGTGCTAAGCAACTGCATATCAAAGACTATTGCAGAAACAAAACAAGCTCTGAAGGCTTTTCGGTCACTGCTGGACAGAACAATTCTAACAACTCTGCCAAATTATTTCAATCAATTTTTTTTGAAAAATAATTAAAAACTTACTTCACAGGCTTAAAAAGGTCCCACGAATAAAAATAATCACAAGGAATCTGGCTTAAGAGCCAGTTGGCTGGGTACCACAGATCAATAAACATGTGTAAAATTATTTTTCACTCATATACCACTTGAGGGTGGTGAAGCACTGGGACAGGTTGCCCAGAGAAGCTGTGGATGCCCCATCCCTGGAAGTGTCCAAGGCCAGGCTGGATGAGGCTTTGAGCAACCTGGTCTAGTGGAAGGGGTCCCTGCCCATGGCAGGGGGGGTGGAACTGGATGGGCTTTAAGGTCCCTTCCAACCCAAACCATTCTGTGGTTCTATACTGCAAAGCTACAAAAGAACTAGTGAACATTTTACACTAGAAATGTCATTTCTATGCTTTTACTCACAGTAAGTAGCCTATTCTTTAAGTAAAAATCCCCTAAAAGACTGATGAAATAGAGAATAGCAAATACAACTAATCCTTGTATTTGTGTACATGTACATGGGTGACTTTTCACACACCAACAGATATCAACAGGTAACTAATAGGGGACAGCTACCACACCCATTAAAACAAAACCTCAAGATTGTAATGTAAACGTGATTACTAGTGAATCTGGATCAAAGCAAATAGGATACTAAATGAGACAAGGTCAAAGTAATTTCAGTCAGCTTATTTTCTGAAATAAAACATATTCCATGCTACGTTCTGTTACTGGAAGCACAAAGGTACAGGACGGGCGCGTTGTATTTTGTTGTTATACATTCCGAAAAAGTAGTAATAGCCTAATGACACTTAATCCTGAGAAGACCTCCAAATTTGTAAAAAGAAGAACCAATATGTAATACAGGAAGGTGACAGTGAGCTGAAAAACTGCAGTAAGAGAGAAGGAATAAAGTGCAATAGTCCGAGATGCAATGTCATACACTGAAGGCCCAATAACAAAATAATCTTCAGTAAGCTTAAGAGTTGATAGCTGGATTAAAAGGAGGCAAAGCTGTAAGTATTAACTAATCACAGAACAACTCTGCAGTCGAGTCATATACACAGATACAGCTACGAAGGAAAGCAATACTAGGATACATTAGGCCTGTCAAGCCCAGGAACTGTTAAACCCTGAATATTGCACATAATATTTGTCAATTTGTAGGATGGACGTAACTAGGACAAATGGAAGAACAGAGTTAAGAACTTTTAGTGTTATCTTTTAAGATACTATTTAAACTCATCAAAAGGGTTGGAGGTCAGATACAATTATTCTCTGTAAGCACTTCAAGAAGGTGAAAACTTATTTTTTTGCTTTTGAAACAGGTCCCCATTGAGAATGGAAGCAGAAACACATATCAACACTGTTTTTTGCACGAGTGTTTAATTAGCCTGCACAGCATTTTATGATGCATTAACAGTCAATGACTTGAGATCCATCTCTGTCTTGTGTCTCTTGTGCTGAAGTTCTACCTCTAAAACCCATGTGGTTTAAGATCAGTAAACTTATTGCTTTTGAAACAGGTCCCCATCGAGAATGGAAGCAGAAACACATATCAACACTGTTTTTTGCACGAGTGTTTAATTAGCCTGCACAGCATTTTATGATGCATTAACAGTCAATGACTTAAGAGATCCATCTCTATCTTGTGTCTCTTGTGCTGAAGTTCTACCTCTAAAACCCATGTGGTTTAAGATCAGTATAAATGGTCTGTAGGTATCCTGCATCACTTGAAATATCAAAATGAAATATTTGAGTGCAGTAGAGTTTTTCTTACCTTTCCAGAAGATTATGAATTGCTTTGAAGAGCAGGGTCCTACACTCATAGGAAAGTCCATTCTCCCACAATCCTTCTTCCACCACTGTAAAAACATAAAATGTCAATATGCTCAGAATAGGGAAATACATTTATACAAAACATGACTCCAACAGCTTTAATTTTCAACAGCAGTATGTTTCACAAAACTGTTTCAACTATTACCCATATTGTCAAAGTAGCTTTAATCTTTACAGGTTTTGAATCTAAAAGAAAACACAAAAGCATAAAAGCAAATGCATTTGTTTGTAGTATTCGGTATTAAAGTGGGAGGGTGGTGAGGAATTAATGACCATTCTTTGCCACGACTGCTGAGGGATCCTTTAAAACTTAACGGCTGATACAGACAATCAAGAAATGAAGTGAATCATTAAAGGTGTAAAATCGATTTACAGAACTTAAACACCATTAAACAACTCTCCTGAACCTCTCACTGTCACACTCAAGTGAAATTCCTCCGTAGTACTGACTTGAACTATTGCAGTTTAAGCAATAAACAAATAAACTAAACACTCAACCATTCATTATTCCAAAATAAAAACTGTAAACTCCGTACCAAACTGCAGAGATATTAGGAAGCGTTTTGTTTTTTTTAATTCCATTGATCTCCCTCAGTGGAGTGCAGCATGAATTAGCCACCTGAATGAGAAGCTGAAGGATATACAAACCTCAAAAATATCTGCTGTCCTTACTCCACTGCTTTTGGATGCTAAAACTAAGAAGGGTAAAACCATTTTTGGTATGTCCGTACCAGATTCTGCATCTTCTGGCTGAATTACGGTTTAATCTCAGCCACAGAGTAAAAACAGATGATTAAATAACTTTGTCAAGGAGTAAGAATTTGTTAATTGTCTGAGTTCTGTCACTGCAATTTTACAGGAATACTCTGCAGATCTTTAGAAATGCAGACATAAAATTCTACAGCATGTATGAATACTTAACACCCCTCCTTGGCCAATTTGAAGGATGAAATGTTCCAACAGCATGTCTATCATGCAGAGATTATCATCTAAGTATAGTTTACTCTACACGTTTAAAGTAAAGCTTCTAAGGAGTTTCTGCTGTATGAAATACAGGAATATTGCCAGCAGTCGTCAGCTCTAGCTTCAAAGCCTGAATGCCCAGCATTGTTCATTATTCTGCCGCTTCTCCCAGTAACCAGAAGTCACATAACCTCAAAGAAGCAGCAGCACACTTTTTGAACATGTAATGTTGTGATATGCTAATATTGGTAAGAGTCTCTCTCCTTTTACAGAACGAAAAAGCCGGGGCTTTAGCACCTAAATCACCTTATCAAATAGCACAGTCACTTCCTTAGAAGAATGAAAAGGCAGCCTTGTGCTTTCGGGCACAAGCGTGAGCCAGATAACCTTCCCTGTAAAACCATTACAGACCCCTTTCATGCTTGCAGAACCATACGGACACCGAATATGCGATGCACCATAGCTCTTCACTACATCGAGCTCCACATGGCCTCAGAGTTCATGTTTAAAACAGTATTCTAAAAACTTCAGAATCTCCGTGCATTTTCAGGACTACTGATGTATAAATTCTATACAGTTCAGAACTACAGAAGCCTAAGGAACTGCAAGACTGGTACAGTCTTGTGCTTAGAACTACACAATCCTCAAAAAGGTAAACACTTGGACATGACAGTACCAGAGCTATCACACCTGAGTTCACCCCTAGAAAAACTCCATATTTAAATAAACCCTCAAGTTTTTAGCCAGTGTTAGAACATTGACAGAATTTGTAAAAGTCGAAAGAAATTCCCCATGACACAGCCCTGAGCTTTACCCTAATCCTGTCAGAGCATCCATGCCAAAAGCTAGCACTGTCCCTGCATTAAGAACTTCATGCAAAATGGGAGAGACAAGAATCTGTTCCGTGATTTTATGGAAACTTCTCAGAGCCAGTCCCAAGGTTCCCAATCGTAACTCAGCACCTACTCCCAAGTATGCACAGCAAACTGATGGGACTCAACTAAAGAACAGCTTATATCAGCTCTACAAACGATTTTCTGCAAGTACCATTTTGCCACTGACTCCAGAAGAAAAGATCCGATCATGCTGCTTTACGCTGTTTATAAGGTAATATTCTGAAGGGTTGGAATTATTTTATACCAAATTCTTTAGGTACTGGACATTACCTGTATTCTTTTGCCCTGCTTAGCTGTGACTGGCACAGCTCCTCTGTGGGCTACACCATCCTGCTCCTCTTCCACAAACTGAGACCCCTCTCCCCAGGCCTGGTGTGACATGAAAAGCCAACATATCCCAGCAGAAGGGACAGAAAATGAGGGAACAGAATTTGGCAGCGCTCCCCCTCTCGACACAGCAACACAGCTGTACTCACCGTGACCCTGCACTCAGGAGAAGGAACAGCTATGCAAGGGAACGCGGCCCAAAGCCGACGGCAGGCAGGGAAAATCAACGTTAACCTCGCACTGGAGGTCCTCATGGGTCAGTCCCTGAAGACTGCCAGTGAGATCAGACTGGCTGAGGAGCAGCAAGTAGTCTCATCCTCCAATATTCTAATTTCCCAAACTGCTATTTTTGATACTTGGCATTCCCATAAACTATATATGAAATGGAAATAAAATTATTTCCTATTAAATTTAACTCGAAGACTATCAAAAGCCATGCTCATAACCATTTTCCTATAATATATAATGCTTTTGATTCCCAGATATATTAATGCACTATACTTACTACAACTACCTCTAACACTTCTTTACCCCACCAAAAATGTTCATCTCACAACTGAGAGGATGTACACATGCCTGTTGCATGGAGAAAAAAAAAATTAGAACTGCAGCATTTATGTTGCAGTAAAACTGGAGAAAAAAAAATTAGAACTGCAGCATTTCACTTCCTCTCTGCTCTTTGGCTTCCTGATCCAGTTTCCAGAAGAAAAGAGCTTAAATAACTGGAGCAAGTTACAACTTCAGGATGCAAATGGTGACCAGTACCAAAACTTGGCAAACACTAGATTAGATGATCCCTGCAAAAAGGAAAAGTTCTTCACACTGTAATGATGTAACTAGAGGGCAGATTTTGAAGAATATTTTAAACTCCTTCTAGAAGACTGAAGTTTAGGAAATACTTGTTGTTCTCTGTCTGTCTACACAGTGACTTGTAATGCTTTTAACACCCAACGCTTTTGACTCAAGCCCCCATCAGCCTTTCAGTGCTGCCTGACAGCACTTTGAGGCACACAGCTAACGGGAAGGAGGTGCTGCAGGTTCAGAAACATGCTTACACCAAGCACCCATTCCTGTCCTGAAGGTATTTTCTGTTACTCTACTTGAAATATTTCCTTCAGAGGCCAACTATACAACAGCTGTGAAAACCATCTTTAGGAAAAGAAACGTAGGGCAAGAATCAAGCAAAGGTTGAGTTTTAGTAAGAGAAAGAGTACGACAGAGCAGGAAGTAGAAGTCAGTGTGTATTTTCTTCAGAGGCCAACTATACAACAACTGGGAAAACCATCTTTAGGAAAAAAAACATAGGGCAAGAATCAAGTAAAGGTTGAGTTTTAGCAAGAGAAAGAGTACAACAGAGCAGGAAGTAGAAGTCAGTGTTTTAGAGAGGCAGCAAAAAAGATGGGACAAACTGTGGGCCACCGCTTCCCAGGACCTGGGTAAACAAAGCCATCACTAATCTGATCTGTTGTTTGCAGCAATCCCATTTGGAGTAGGATGTCAGACTGGATGACGTCCAGGAGTCCAAGCTCCAACTCACCTGTGTGATCTGCCAGATCTACTGATCCTCCACAGCGATACATTTATATAAGGCAATACCTGTACCTCCCTCTACCTCTGTGTACGTTAACTACCTTATCTAAGCATGTAGATACATTCCAGGGTACTCAAAACAACTGGAAGTAGCATTTACTTTCTTATAACGCAGGCAGTTCACCCCCTTCTTGTTGTTTATCCTGCAATAGATGGATTAAAAACTTTACGACTGCACTTCTCACCAAAATAAGCAACTACTATGTGTGTTTTGTTGGTTTGTTTGTGGGGTTTTTTGTTGATAGTGTTTGGTTTTTGTTTGTTTGTTTTTAAAAGAAATCAACTCTCAAAAATCTAAGTCTATTAATACTCTGTCTCTAAAAATCTGGATTCTTGGGAAAAAAAAAAATCAGGAAGATACAGTTAATGGGAGAGATGCTGTGACTTTAATTCTTTCAACTGCCCAGTTGAGATGGCCAGTGTGGCTGCCCTTCCTGCATCATCCTCAGTATTTGCCCTCCAAATCCAGCGGAGATAGAGAGCATTAAAGCAGCATACGGATCCCCAAAGAAGTGTGAAGCTTTCAGTATCTTTCAAAAGGGGCAAGAGGAAAACTTGAGACAGATGGTTTTGGACAAGAATATCCTACCCATTTATCTGAAGAGGTGTCATTGTTTCAATCTATAGGAGTTAAGAAAGTGAAAATATGGATAATCATTAAAATGCTCATGGGAAGTTAATACAACACCAAAGCAATGCTGTAACAGGTATTACGGGAAAAGGTAGTTCTGTGTAAGCTGGCAGGGCACTGTGTAGTAGAAATCAAAGTTACTGTTACAGGTGAGTACCTGCCTATTGCCATTATCTAACGTACAAGTGTGTACAGGAGTAAGGTAAAAAACCTTTTGGGTTAGAACACCTGGAAAAGAACACAATGCAGTGTTTTTCAATTGCAAACCAATCTTCCACAGAGAAAATGCTTTTTATTCTCTCATTCTGAGATATTAGCAGAAAATCCAAAAAGATAAAAAGGTGTATCTGACACTGATCAGAATGGATTACGACCAAGGTGCTAAATCTCACTGATAGTCTCCATACAGAACGGGAATTAAACTATAGCCTCACATACAAATTATTTAAATGTTTGTTACCATTTCTTTTTCAGAGCTTCAAAAAACGAATAGAACATTTGTGCTGATTTTCAATTTTATCCTTGCAGATCAAGATGTTAAAAGAATTAAAGGCAACTACAATAATTTAGACTCACACTGTAAATTTATAATTTAAACATAGATTAATGAGCAGCTTAG